TCAGACGGTAAAACATTACCCTTATTTCACTTATTTTACAAGTGGAGCTCATCATCAATCATTATGTACAGCTTTCCTGACAGTTTAAGTTAGTTTATCCAGCTAAAACAAAAATTGAAAAAAGCGGCGATGGTGGCTCACTGGCACAACACTAGGTAACCACACTTGTGATGCCGATTCCACTTCCCGCCCATGCACTCTTAAACCCTGTCCTAATTTACCGTAAGCAAGTAATTCAGGAAAAGAGAGGGGAAGATGGTGTGTGAGGCCCAGAACTCCACTCTGTATAACAAAACAACAAAACAAAGCTTTCCGAAACTTCAAAAGCCTTGATCTCTTTCCTCTATTCCACTCGAAATACAAAGGAATGAAAAGAAATATTCGCAACAAGACACTAAACTTCAATAAATTAACAGGAATTTTTGTTTTGTAATCCAGCCTCCTCCTCTATTTCTGTTATCATGTTACGAAATCAGTCGTCTATCGCATATTGTATTACATTAACTATATTGTTGAATAAATGTCACAAGAAATTTTGAAACTAAAAGAAATCACATTTTAAAAAGGGAATTCTGTGTTACACTACCTATAAATTATGTTAACATTTTCAATAACATAAGAGGATCAATAAAATATGGACATTTTCTTTCTGTGGAAAACAAATGTTTGTTAAATGGGAAACCGGTAAAATTTAAGATTACGTTTTTCGTCATTATTTATTTTTCTTTCTTTTGAGCCAAGAATCATTTACTAAAGTATTCCACTTACAATCAAATGGATAACTGGTTTGAAATGTGTTCAGTACCCTCCCTCCCACCGCGGAGTCGATACTATCTACTTTTGTAGGATAAATGTCACTTGTTGTAGGTTCATTTGACTATTTGATTACAGTATCATTTGAATAAAGCAAGAGGAACAGTTTGTTAGTGTAAGAATAGAACTTGGGCACTGTGATGGTAGAATGTAATTCCATATTAGATAAGTTTATTTTAAATATCACAGTGTCCAGTTGTTAACACTGCATCGTTGTGTGACATTTAAAGTAAATTTATCTAATATGGAATTTGAAATTTGAAAGAAGTAACCTCCTACAGGCGGAACTGACGAGGATATCAAAGCAAGAATCGGGAAAGCATGGCAAGCTTTCATTACTCCCGAATCTGTGTGGATGTCAACAGCACTCAGAATGAAAATGAAAATGAGATCCGGATTTTCAACTCTAATGTGATTTCAGTGCTACTTTATGGATCAGAGACTTGATGTGTCATGAAGAGCACATCAAATAAACTACAGACCGTCAGCAACAACTGTCTTCGTTCAGTATTCCGCTCACGATCAGATGGCCGGCCAGAAAAGATCAGCAACATGGAGGGATCTCTGGCAATTAACGAACCAATTTAGCAGCAAACAACTGTGCAACAAATATGCAGGAAGAAATGCAGGTGGACTGGCCATACTGTGCGAAAACAAACCATCAAGTGTATGACGTCACAAGCCAGGCTCTCGAGTAGAACCCGAACGGAAATCGGCGAGTCAGTCGTCCGAGGATGACATGGACGGGGTGATGTGAAGAGGAGATGAAAGAATGTGGGTAGACGTGGAGCCAGGTGAAAACGTTTGCAGAGAACTGAACGCAATGGAGACGTGCGGTTGAAGCCCTATGTTCCTCTAGGAACTAAAGGAAACATTAACAATAATATGGAACAATTGTTTGTGCAGAATAATATGATACCGTCATCAGCTATTTCATTGGTTTCTCATCAGCTGCTTACAGCCTGATGAAATTATTAAGTTTATATGCAACATATTTGCAAATTTCGCACTATTTAAGTTAACAGGAGGTTTCAAACTTAGTGAACAGTGCTTAGAAAATTACACTTATATAGTTTTTACCCAGAGATTTCAAGTTTAAATGAAAATCAGTGTAAGTATACAACGTAAAGGAGCTATGTAATAAAGACCAGGGTGAGTATGATGATGAGTAACAAATAAATTGACTGACAATGTAGTTTGTTCGAGGGTGACGTGTCAGGAGGAAACAAAAGCTTATTAGGAGTCGTGAAATCTGCTGTGAAACACAGTAGAGAAAATAGTGAAATAGTGATGTACTGCTGAAGCTTGAGGGAATAATAATAATAGACATTGAGAAGCAAAATAACAGCTTGTCAACAGTTGTGGAGACAGCTGGAAGTAACAGCAGAAGACCAAGTCCACTGGAAATGTTTCACTAGGAACTCAAGAAATGAAGAATAATAATAGGTACGAGACAGCAAATCGATTTCAGTTTCGTCTCCGGACAACAGAAATACCCATAATCAATAATTTTCATACTAAAGTTTCCTAACCACAAATGATGCTCCAACGTTTTGGTTAGTTTCATTCTGTGGATGACCGCTCTAACTTTAATCTGAGAATTTAAACGAAATCTAAGTTATCTTACAATAAAAATTACACAATACAGTTAAACTTTTCAAGGGCCCGCTTGTAGGGATTTGATTTTTTTCAGGTTTGATAACAGATTGATTTCAGTTAGAGAACCATTCAGAGCCAGTACTGGAGTAATAGACAGTTTCTCCCTTGGTAACCATATCACTTTCATTACGGTGATTACTCATAGACACTAGTGAGTTCAACTCACAAAGCAAGTTTTCAAATTGATGAACTTTGACCTTGTTGAGTTGCCATGTTGACACTGTTTATTAGGTTTTTCTGTTTTCTGTCTTCTCTCACCCCCCTTTTTTATTTCTTTTTTGCCATAGATTGATAGTATATAAATTGATGATAACTTAAGCTACAAAATTTTAATCCTTATATTCCGGATGCGTTTATCTTATAATGCTTTCTGTATTACCTTTCAAACAATGAAGTATGAAATGTTATTAATTATAACCATTGTAATTTCAGGTAGTTTGCAGCTGATGAGAACCTGTGAAATAGAATGATATCATTTTATACTGCAAATCTGGTCTTTCTTTCTCTATCGTAATAGACAGTTATTCCGTACTGGTTTCAGACCCTTCATCGGCATTACTCACCCACCTATTTGGTTAGAACCCAGGACCTTCCGGTTACAAGGCAAGCTCATAAACCATCCAGTCAGTGGGACCCAACTTAATGTCTAGCTGATGAATTCTGACTTTTAGATCATGAATTTGTAGAAATTACAAAACCATTGTTTCCAATTCAGATGTCACTGAATGGTCTGGTACACGATGTTACTCAACGGTTTCTTCAGTGTGTTGCTGATTAGTCTTCATTTCCTTCTGCGTAGTTATTTAACAGTAGGTTTTTGATTGGTTCATTGACGGACTTTTCTGTTTCTATTCCTTTAAGGCTAGCCATCCCATATTCACTACTGAGCGAAAGCTGATTTTGATAAATGTCGGATAATTGTTGGAAACGATTTTAGTGATGCTTTAAGTCACTGAATCTTGTGGAAGCACTGATTTCACACTAGTGTTGGATATCTGAATCTTGTTCTCTGTGCTGACTACACCAGGTTTACACGCTGATTTTATACTAATCAAGTTTTATGACTTCATTTAACCTGGACTGCATTTATATTGTTATTATTTTTATTCCCTTGGGTTCTGAGTGGAACATGGGGTTGACTCCAACAACACGTCTCCAATTTTCCCTATCTTCTGCTGTCCTCTACAGCTTGGACCACGGTTACCCACAATCAATCATCTCCTCCTCACACAGTCTCCTCCATGTCACCCTAGCGCCGAAGACACAATCTTCGCCTCCCGCTGAGATTCCACTCGAGCGATGTCATTCGATGGTCTGCTCAATGTATGCTTCGTCTATCTATCTCCATTTTCTCTTGACTGTTGGTTTGTCGCCAGTCAGAGTTTCTTGTTGCTAATTTTTTCTGGCCGACTGGCCATTAATCTTCAGTATAGAGCCAGTCATCGAAGTGGGCAGCTGCTGATAAAAGTTTGCAGTAGCATGTTGGTAACACTTTTCGTGACACACTGGCTAAGTTTCTGACCCGTATAGAAGCACTGACTGCACATTGGTGTTGAAAATCCGAATCTTGTTGTTTATTCAGAGACGGAGTGCGGAAGACTTCCAAACTCGTTTCAGATTCGTTGATGAAGGCAAATTTCGCCTTTTCCTAATATGACTTTGACATCTTCATCCGTTCCACCTGCCTGTGGTTGAAACGATGCTTACTTGCCAAATAAGTGAAGGATGTAATTTCTGTTAAATCTCCCCCGTTGATGGCGATTAATACTGGTTGTTGTTGGTTGGTTATTTTCATCACTTCCGTCTTCTCTGTGCTTACCTACAGTCGTGTCTTCTCAGCGAGTTTGTTGGTTTTTGCCTGTATGCTTTCGAGCTTGTGTGACATCAGAAATATATCATCCACGTGCGAAATCTAGATCTTCTAGAGTCTTCTTATTGGTGGTCCAGCTTACTCCTGTCTCCTTGATCCTAACCCACAGTCTGATGCATAATCCAGTCCACCACAATTAAGAATATCATCGGTGACAGTAGGCAGGCAGCCTTGTCTTACTCTTTTATTCACTTCGGACACCTCGCTGAGTTTTTCGTTGTGGGTCACCTGACACGTGGCTTCGCTATATAGCCAGCTGTTGAACGAGTTTGATAAAGATTTGGACACTGCCCATCATAGTGTCGAAATAGTTTCCAAATTACTTCTCGGTCAGCGCTGTCTGTCGAAATTATTGAAGCTGATGTGAGTAATATTTGAATGTCATTCTACACTTTGTTCTGTGATGACGATGCGTAGAGTTGCAATTTGATCAGCACATGATTTGCCTATTTCTGAATCCACTTAGTTCCGTTTGGCGGAGTTCTGTATCCATTGTGGACTGCATTTACCCTCTACTTTATCTCAATGTTATATAACCTATTTCAGTCGTCATTCAGCAGTAATTCAGTGACGTGTACTATTAACTCATAGACACCGACGAATTTAATATTAAATTTTAACCAGTAGAATTTTATTTAATTTATTTTTTCTACTACAGCTGTTGTCACAATCAATGTTTTACCAGAAGAAGATGAACGTTGGGCTAATGCTGGTGATATCGCTGAATTCCACTGTCGTCTAGATGGAAGAGAACAAGGCAATCAATTGACAGATTGGTATTTTATTCCAGAAGGTGGTGATCGAGAGATTGCTGTACCTGATGATGTTGGAATTGAACGACCAGAAGCTACACCATCGACAACATTTTTAAGTATAGTAAATGTTCAAAAATATCATGAAGGGGAGTATGTTTGTAGAGCGTTGAATTTAAAAGACTCTGCTATATTGAGAGTAAAAACAAGAGGTGAGCATTGAAAAAAACTTATTTGCATTTCTTTGTATTACATGTGAAAATTGAAATTGTAATGTAAATTAGGATTTATTGGCTTTTGATGTGATTGTGTTCTCTGAGCTGGATAGTTGATTTGCGAAGCTTTCATCACCCTACTAGGTGACATCTTCAGCGCATACTTCAATTCACTGAAGTGAGCTTTTAGATTTCTCCACGAGTTTATTAATCATCTCTCCCGGTGACCTTGGACGCGATTGGTTGTTTTTGTGCGTTTTCACACCTTCTAGGCTACTTTTATTGGAACTGATTGTTTCTTTGACTTGAACTTTGACCCTTTGTGTGTGAGGTTTCTTTCTTATCGGTTGATAAATTTTGTCAATCTCGATGTGTCTATTGATTGATGATTCACTGGAATGCCAAGCTTCTAAAAATTCTCTAGCATTTTTGTTGTTTCCTCTGTCTAATATTTGAACGTTGGTTGTCCCAATCGAATTGATGCCCGTGGTTGTCTGTATGTAGTGATATGAAGGAGTGGATGTCATGTCTTTTGACGGCTAGCTTATGTTCGTGGATACGAAGACGAAGGGGACGTCCACTTTGGCCAATGTAGTGATTTGTATTATAAGTACTGTTTTGAATAAAGTAATATTGTTTATTTTCGCAGTTGATACAATCTATTTTGTAGATGATGTTGGTTTTATCTTCTTTCGCTGTTGAGTCTTTTGGTTGACATAGAACTGAGTGAAGTGATTTTGTTGGTTTGTGTGCCGTCAATTCCTAAAGGTCTGACGAGTCTTGCAAAGATTTCTGATATATCCTTTATATATGGCAGCTGCTTGTTCGAATCCTACTGCCAACCAGATTTTTATTCCACCTCCAGTTGTCATCCATTAGATCAACAGTAATCTAATATCTATAAAACACAAAATAATTGAGCAAAGAATATCCTTGTCGATAATTTCCTCTTCTGGCCCTGCAATTATATATGTATGTTTATATACATAGAATATTCTAGATAAGTAGGCAATAACAATATTAGTGTCTTTTAAATAATGTCGATTTGTTAAGTAAGATCAATGCAATCACAGTTCATTAAAGATGCATAAATAATAATAATAATAAAGAAATAATAGCAAATGGAATATCAACTAAAATTAGGAAAATTCCACAAAAATTGAGTATCATTCAAACCTAGATGACCAAAGTAAGGATAATGTCTGAACTAACAATCCATAGAGCAGTGGCTCACTCGTTTGGATCCTCGACTATCAACTTCTGGTTCATGAGTTGGGAACTCTGCTCCATGCAAAGAGGTTTCGGTAACCCTGGGATGTATGACTAATAGGTGTGGCTTGTTGTCGCCTGCGCGGAATTGCAAGTAATTACTGAGTAACACTCGGTCTGAGAATCTGAGAACATACTTTGATTGGACACTAGTCAATAACAAGTGTGATGTGTCTAGTCCTTTCTTTGGTGCAGACTGAATTCTATCAGTCAGGTTTGCAATTTGGCCACCATTTTAAGTAGCTCGCCATCACACTGCACATTGATTTGATGATATTAGATGGTTGGAGGCAATCGGCCACAGGAAGCCTTGGCTGTACCTAGACTTCGTGCTGGTTGTCACTCACCAATCAGCAAGGTGTATCTGCAGCCTTGTTGGAAATTACTCATGTCCCTTCTGAGGTTCGAACCCGTATCACCCAGTGATGCAGTCAGAGACGTTACCAATGAGCTATTCGTGCTGGTTCGCGATTGACCTCCTGTATGACTGTAGTGGATACTTTGATTCAACACTAGTAACTAGTGTGATATGTCTAGTCCTTTCTTTGGCGCCTTGCTGATGAGTGCCAACTAGCACGAAACCTAGGTCCAAGGCTTCCTACCGATTGCCTCCAACCATCTAAATCTGAGACCATATCAGGTGTTGACCATCAGCTTTCTTATACATCAGATATGTGGTTAATTCTAGAGAACATTAACTTTAACGAATATTCGGAAGACATCACTGAAATGTGTTTGTAAATCCTTCTATCGATTATATTGACGTCATCCAAATTGAAGTATTTTCAGAAAACAATGTATGCACTTACTTAAAGTATACGATTCATCTTTCTTAATAATTTAAAAGTTTTAAAAGCATAATAATTCATCTTTGAACAAAGAGAGTTTGAAAAGGAATAGGTAATTTTTTGGTTTGACATTTTACACATATGATAATAATAAGTTCATTTACATAAGTTTAAAAGAATCACGTCAGGATTCCCACGCTAATTCGTAATAGTTATATCGTTGTGAATTTCTTTGTGGATAGACGCATATCAAGAAACCTTGATCGATGTTATCTTGTTCTCAGTGCTAGCTGAAATCTACCAGTCAGTTTTGTGCAATGGCGTATCATGCTATGAGAACTGCCTTCGCTTTGACTTTGAGTGAAAACGGCTATCCAGAAAAGTTTATTGATAAGAATATGAATCTAAAATCAAAGCACCCTAAGGTACCAAAAGTTCTTAAAAAGGCCTTATTCTTACAAATACAGTTTTTCAGGGGCAACATCAGAGAGATACTAACACAATGCCTTAGAAATGCGGTAAAAAGAGCATTCAGTGCTGCTGCTGAATAACTCCGCTTTTGCGTTCGGGAGTAAAAGACAAACTGCCTAATTTCGCCTCTTCCATGTGTATCTAACAATTTAACTGCTCCTGTGGAGCCAGTTATTTGCATAGGCCGTACAATTAGGCGTGTTTCTCGTCAGATTTCCGAACATCACCCTGCGTGGTTGGTTAAGTAAAGGACAAACAAAATCCATTCATAGCTCTATTCTATCTCATCTTGTGGATACAGAACACAAGATTGATGTTAACCAGGCGGCTTTCAGAATCATTTATCGCATACCAACTAATCTTAACTTCACCTTAAGAATTCGTCTACTACATATTGCTGAGGCTGTTGGGATCCACATTAAGAAGTCTAATTTATGCGTCCAAAATAAGCTAGTTCAGACATTATCCTTACTTTGGCCATCTAGGTTTGAATGATCCTCAATTTTTGTGGAATTTTCCTAATTTTAGTTGATATTCTATTTGCTATTATATCTTTATTATTATTATTGTTATAATTTAAGCATCTTTAGTGAACTGTAATTGCATTGATCTTACTTAACAAATCGATATTATTTAAAAAACACTAATATTGTTATTGACTACTATTCTAGAATATTCTATGTATATAAACATGTATATATAATTGTAGAGCCAGAAGAGGAATTTGTCGACAAGGATATTCTTTGCTCAGTTATTTTGTGTTTTGTATTAGTGTTAGACAGCTTGTGGTAATCGGCAGGAAGCCTTGCAGTTTCACGATTATCTTTGGCTTTGACATTGAAGATTTGTCGATAAGCACAAAATCCAGCTTTCTACCCTAGTGACCTTACACCTTCATGCACGTAGAATAGCTGTAATTGTAACTTCGGCTGAGTTAAACAATAACGACCCACGAGTCCAGACTCATCAATAATCTTGAAGTACAAATGAAGAGCAAGTTTGTGAAACCAAGTGAAAGGCAATATATTCTTAGGGAAATGCTGAAAAAAACTGTGAGAATATGAAATATGATGTCTAACTGGGTTAGGGTTAAGTTAGGGAAAGATTATGGATACAGTTGAGTAAGCTACCCGTATATGCCTTTTGAAGTCGACAGGCTGTTTCAAGGTCATCATTGGAATCGCTATAGTGGGTTGCCACTTTTTAACTTTGTGACGATGTTTTGAAGCTTCAGGGACAACATCTTTCTTGGTTTAGACGCATTCCCATGAAAAATGATGACTGTCTGTGTATATTACTAACCTTTACAAAGAAATAAATGCCCAGAAAACCGTTGTAATGCAGTACTTAGCCAGAAAAATTTGAAATGCAAGGAATGTTCAGAGAAGCAACTGAAATATCACATAATATTCGGAGAAAAAATGAAGTATGAATGAAGTTGTACAGTGGAAATCACTGCTGAGATTTTGAGAACTATAGGAATTGGATTTGTCTCAATAGTGAATTTTCAGACACACGGGCATCGGTAGATGACTGATTGTAAAACATGAGGCAGTGGGCACAGTTGTTCCTTTGTAACTTGTAACTTTTCAACTGAGCACAACCATGACCTCAGCGTAGAACGTTAAGTTACGCGTCAAACACGTTCACTCTAAGTTTGAATGTTAATTTCCCGTTCACAAGTGGACGTCTTCAGAACGAATGTCCTGAATTTGTAATGAGTAGTCTTGACCGCTAGGGTTTGCCATGCTAGACTTGAAGTGAATGCTAACTTACCAACACTGTTCGACAGTGCCACCATACCACGAGTCGATAAGAGTTAGAACTCACCAGATAGTGGTGAACTTGTTCGACTCAGAAGAGGTCATTAGTTTGTTACCCTGAAGGGTCGCAAAGCAGGATGACTGATGTCTGGTTGTAATCAAGTCTACCTAGGAAGAAATCAGTACTGACAATAATTAAAGGTTTAATCATAACTCTAATCAATTTATGTTTCAGATTTAACGGTAACCCCAGAAGAGGTTAAAGCACGTCCTGGAACCACTGTACAATTTCTTTGTGAATTATCTACTGTCAATGGAATGAAAGGTGGCAAGGTCTACTGGATGCGTACAGATCGTCAAGGTCTACGTCCTGGTAAAGAAGAAGTCATAGGAACAAATGGTGGTAGAGCGCTATTAATTGTTAAAGATGTTGGACGATTTGAACATAATATCACTTATATGTGTACAGATGGGGTAAGTATGACCACTTTTAATAGTTATTATAAAAAACAAGGAATCATCTGGTATTACTTTTTCATTAGGTGATCCTATTTTCTCGACTTTTATCCCTATCATTTGTTTTTAAGAGTCGATTCACTAGGATTTAATTGATTTCAGTCAGCGAACCAGTGAAAATCAGGGAGTATTGGACAGTTGTCTCCTCTCAGTTTTTGAGACCCTTCAGCAACACTCACCCATGCCTCCCCTGGGGGTCGAATCTAGTACCATAAGGTTACGCAGGAAGCCTGTACAGCCATTGAAACTAGATCCAGTGACCCACAGATGTGATGTATAGTGCCACCACCAGCTAATTTCATCGGCGAGTATATGTCTTCACACGAAAACTACGTGGACTATAATGGTGACGGCTTTTCACTAGAATTCCAGGCAACTTTAACCTGTAGACAGTCACCATTGAGCAGTAAAATAACCAACAGATGTATTTCCTAGTGGTGCTATCTTTGAGGATTCTTCAACTTGTTCTGACTAGACAATTTTTAATCGTATTCACGTTAGCCAAACAAAAATAGACCAAATTTCAAAGTGTGAAATTTCTTTAGAAACTTTTCCACTGTAAACTTTAGTGGTAGAATTTAGTCTGTATTGAGGACCAGAAGGACACTGGTTACTGTTGAGGGACGATTCATTGTATCCACTACACTTCTGCTGGGGGGATTGATGGTAGGCCGAAGAGCTCAGAGTTATCGCTTGTGACTGAAGCACTATGTGACGCGTGTTTGAATCTTCAGTGGGACATTAGTTCTTTTGAAGTTTCAGAAACCACTTTCCAACGAATGTTATTAAGGGAGAAACTGGCTTGTAGGATTTCCTAGTGAATGCTTCTCATCATTTTTATTTCTAAGATTGATGTTTTGGACACAAAATAAAATATGAGTCAAAAAGATGTTAAACTGCCATGATACCGTCATCCACTGGGTAGCTACGTAAACAAAGACGTAACTGTTTGTTTTTAGCCATCACCTTGGTAACCAGATCAATTTATGATGCCCCCTAGTGACTGGCTACAGAAAGAAATCTTGACCAGTGGAAGTGAGGAAAAATAATTGCCAATGACAATGACTGGCGCCAGTGGCGCTAAAGTCACAAATTGGTAGGAGCTAGCCACTGAGTCGGATGAATGGTCAACGATCTTGTCTTGTAGTTGATAAGTCCTGGGTCCGAGCACCCCAGTGGGTGCGTACCTTCAAAGAGTCCCCAACTAGGACGAAACAGCTGTCCAATACTCCCTGGCTTTCAGTGGCTCTCTAAATAATATCAGTCCGCGGCAGAATTTAACAAACAAGATAGATTATCTTGCTGAATTACCAAAAGAACGTTTTCAGACAGTAATGTGTTGAATTTGCAGCCTGAAGATCTAGAGTTGGATTCCGAAAACAAGACGGAACATCTGTCCAGTACTCCTTGGTTTTCATGGTGCTTTCTTCTCAAATGATGTCGGCCGATGATGACGGTCATACACAGTGATACTTGATAAATGTGAAAAGGTTGGTGCACACGCCCTCATTGTTTATTTCTAGAGGCATGTTATCAAAATAAGAACTGTTTGAACTGTTGTTGAAATTAAATGTTTGGACGCAATCGGCAAGAAGCTTTGGACCTGGGTTTCGTGCTGGTTGGCACTCGTCAGCAAAATAGTATACAAGTATACATGAGAACCTGTAAATTCAGATTTATATTTTCTCAGATAACATCAAGAAATTTATCTCATTAATGAAACTCTTTTAACGACCATAAACCGACGTCTTGACTATGGAAACCGATTATAGCATTCTACTGTGTAGTTAACCGAAACTTGCTTGATCCACTCTTAGTCACAAAATGCCCAACAACAGCAAAAAGACACCTTTTTTGCAACAAAACATATGAAAAAGCAAAATTATCTGCATAATGACGTTAGGTAGCTATTACAAACTAAGTACTATACAACAAAATTATTTAACCAAATCAACTGTGAGAAGCACCTTGGAATCGAGCAGAACATTCCCATCACTGTGGGATCAAAATTTTGTCAGAATGAATCACAAAGTTGATTGAAACATTCGAATAAGTATTAATATTGTTCATCTGTGGCACAGCGGTAGAATGCTCACCAACCACGCCTCATGTGGTTCGGGGTTCGATCCCTGGCCGACTCACTCCTCCTTTACCTCACTAAGCCATTAGAAAAAGACTGGTAAAGAGGGAAGATAGGGCATGAGGCTAGCAATCCCCCCCGTAAAATTAAATACCACTGCTACCGAAACTTCAAAGCTCCAACTTGTAGTTCCATTATGGGTAAAATTTATTTTGATAGACTCCCACAGTGTTTGTTATACAGTAATATTTACTGATGACCACATTTTGAGCACAATTTATTGCTGTCATAATCAATAGCATATCACACAACTTTCTAACTTCGTTTATATAATTCCATCATTATTTTTCATCACTTGACTTGATTGGTAGTAGTATTTTCCATATTTCCGGTATGAGTGATGAGTCATTCCTATTGCATGTGTTGGGTGTAGACTCGATGAACTAGCCAGGATTCAGTAATCAAACTCTCTCTCCACCTAGCTAGATTACTTTTTAGAATTTTGACTCTGTCCCACCACCCTATTGTGTGGTTGTGTGTTAATGCATGCAATGCGATTGCTGAGTTCTTTTCTAAATCACTTGTCTTTGCGGAGTCAATCATTCTAAGCCTAGCCAAATTCTGGCAATATTCTGGAAATCTGACTACCCCCAATCTACTAGTTTGGTCGATGTAGTCGATCTCGCTGACAGTCACTGCAGGTTATTTTGTAAATTATATTATTCTGTCTAATTGGATCAACTGACAGGGTCCTTTAACCTACTGAGCTTGTCCTCCCTGAGTGAGTTTGTAGGTTTAAATGCCAGTCTAACTCCTGCTTTATTAAGAATCCTACGTAGGGTCTCAGATGTCCCCTCCTTATATGGTATAACAGTAGATGCCTTATATTCCTTCTTATTTTTGTTATCATTATCAAAATAAATTTTACCCATAGTGGAATTATACTCTACCACAGTGCACAAGTTCTATTCTTATATCTCTAACTTGAAGCCCTATATTCCATTGGAAACGTAAAGGAATAAAATAAATAATAATTAATATAAATTGTAATTAGATCGCTTAGGTGGGATTTTTTAAACAATTATTCCATTACAACGCCTTACTGATACAGCTTAATGATGTCTAAACCTGTAGTGTCATCTTATCATCTACATCAACTGGCGGAAATCATCATCAGCTTGTCATATTTCAAATTAAACATTATTTAACTATCTCTCATTGTGATTATCAGTTCACACACAGTTTTTGTATAATATCAGTGATTGTTAAAATTTATGCTGGTTAATTAATTGGACATTGAATCCTGAATGATTTTCAAATGAAATGCTTAACAAGCTTGTTTATAAACAATTGTCATTTTGTGTGTGTTTGCGCGGGCTCGCCTGTTTTTGAAAAATTATATTCATAAACAATCATTGAATGTTTACAATACGATAGAGTTTTTCTTCAAATTTTATTTAAGATTAAATAGCGGAGGTGGGCTAAGGTTCTGACAAGTACGTATAAACATTTCAGTTCCTAAGTCTGTGTTACTTTGGGGTTTTTTCCTCTCAAAAAAATGTAGTGAAAATATAATTTTGATGTAACTGAGGCATCGTTGAAAGTGTGAAATGAAAATCTTGGTCATGATGTAGAAGTTGCACTGGTGGTCACAGAATTACTAGTCTACAGAGCTACGAGACCGGAGTGCTAACATCGTCATTATTTCACTTATATTATTATTATTGTTCCCTTGGGTTCCTAGTGGAACATAGGGCTTCAACTGCACGTCTCCACTTGCTTCTGTCTTCTGCTGTACTTTTCACCTGCATCCATGTTAGTCCATACTGTTTCAACTCATCTTCACACGATCTCCTCCATGTCACCCTTGGACGTCCCACTCGCCGCTTCCCTTTCGGGTTCCACTCGAGCGTTGGCCTGACGCACGATGTCACTCAGCGGCCTCCTCAGTGAGTGTCCAATCCATCTCCACTTTCTCCTGCATATTTGTTGAGCGATTGGTTCTTGTTTTGTTTGTTCCCATAGTTTCTTGTTGGTGATTGTTTCCGGCCATCTGATCTTCAGTATAGAGCGAAGACAGTTAGTTGTTGATAAAGGTCTGCAACAGGCTGTTGGAAATATTCTTTGTGACCCGCCAAGTTTCTGATCCATCCGTATAGAAGAACTGACTGACTTGACTGACGTTTGTATTGAAAATCCGAATTTTGTTGTTGATGTTGAGGAGTGACAAAGATTTCCAGATTGGTTTCAGGTTGATGAATGTGTTTCTCGCCTTCCCGATTCTCGATTTGACATCCTCGTCCCTTCCACGTGCCTGTAGTTGAGACAATGCTTCCTAGATAAGTGAATGGAGTAACCTCTTTCAAATCCCTCCCGTTGATGGTGATTGGCGGTGGATGTTGCTGTTGTTGTTGTTGGTTGGTTATTTTCATAACCTCCGTCTTGTCTATGTTCACCTGGAGTCCTGTCTTCTCCAGCTGCTTCTTCGACCAGTTTGTCGGTTTTCGCTTGTAAGTCTTCGATTTTGTGTGACATCAAACATAAATCATCCAAACGCGAAATCCAGGTCTTCTAGATCCTTCACGTCGGTCCAGGATATCCCTATCTTCTCGTTTCCCACTGTCTGACGCATAATCCAGTCCAGTCCACCACAATTAGGAATATCATTGGTGGTGATAAGCACCCTTGTCTGACTCCTGTGTTTACTCCAAACGCCTCGCTGAGTTTTCCGTTGTGGATCACTTGACATGTGCCGTTGTCGTACAGCTGTTGAATAAGTTTGATGAATATTTAGGGTACGCCGTAGTACTCGAGTAGTTTCCAAATTACTTCGCGGTCAACGCTGTCGAAGGCCTTCTCAAAGTCTATAAAGTTGAGGTAGAGGTATGATTGCCTTTCCATGCTTTGCTATTATTATTCCCTTGGTTTCTGAGTGGAATATGAGGCTTCATTAGCACGTTTCCATTTTTTGTCTTGTTCCCTGAAGTTTCTTTTCTCTGGCTTCACAAGTACCTACAGGCTGTCATCTTCTCCTTACACCTCACTCTCTAACGGTCAGTTGGTTTTTTCTCATCCGGGTTCCACTCGAAGGCTGGCCTGGTGCACTATGTCACTCGGCGGTATCCTCAGCGTGCATCGGATCCATCTCCAATTTCTTCTACATATTTGCTGAGCGGTAGGTTCTTCATTGGTTCCTTCGCAGAGTTTCTAATCGCTAATTCTTTCTGGCTAGTAGTTTAGCCCTCAGTATTGAGCCAGCGAAGTAGGCAGCTGTAGATAACAGTCTGAGGTAGCCTACTGGAAATGCTTTTCGTGATGCTGGCACCAAATATCCGATATGATTTCAGAATGAATAAGGTTAACCTTGGCTTTATGAATCTGATTTTGACATCCTCATCCGTGATCTCACCTTTAGTTGAAATAATGATGCATAGATAAGTGAAGGAAGTGGCCTCTTTCGAATTCCTTAGGTCAGTGGTGACTTCTCCTTTTTGTTGATTGATACGTCAAACTAGCTGGCCAGCATTTTTTTTTCATCTTCGATTCCTTATTATTGATTTTAGTTTAGTTTATTCTTTCTCCTTCCAAGTAAAATACAGAGATTCAAGCTTCCTTTAGCTTTGAATTTTCAGTATCAGTGGTGTTGAAGTTTTACCGGTTGAGATTGCTAGCCTCTTGCCTAATCTTCCCTATTTACACGGGTTACTATCGGCTAAGCTAAGTTTAGGAGTAGACGTCGGTTGGAAATCGAATCTAGAACAGTGTACGTGGTTAGTGAATATTCTCTGTGTCATATATTTCTCGTCTGAACACTTGAAGCAAATTTCAGACTGTAGGTGAACCATCAAGGACTGAAGACACGCTTTTGGCTGTGTTAAATGATAATAATTTATGCAATTTTTACTTTGCGAAAGGCTGGTATGACTGTTTGGTTCTGTCGAGGATTAATGTGAAATTAACCAATTAACCGGCATATCATCCTGTGAAGTACTCCTTGACATAATTGTTGAATCGAAGTATAGTTTCTTAAGAGGAGAGGGGTGGCAATATTTTTGAGGGATTCGGAATTCGATCCTAGTAGATTCTTGTCATTTGTACTACTTTATGTTATCAGTTTGGTAGGGTTGCTCAACAAGTGCAGCCTGGAGGCCTCTGAGTCCACTTGTCCTGTGATCCATTTAATCACTGCCTACTGCATCACTGACAGTTTTTGAACCGAAGACTATCTCAAATAGTCTCACCATCTGTTGACTGCCTGTTCCTCCCCTTCGAATTCACTATGATGAGAATTGGCAGAAGACCAAAGTGAGCAGCTAGTGTGGTGACTAACGGACAGTAATATATCATCAATCGTCATATTTGTGGAGTAATTATGAGCTTTCTGGTTGTTGGTTCTCGATCCTGAGCTGATAGGGTACCAGACTAGTACTTCCAAGACTGCTAGCTCGAATCCTCCTGGATTTTCACTTAAACTTCAGTCACATCACCCATCACATCAGTAGTTATCTTCTAACACAAGGGCATCGTAGCCAGTCTCACCATCAGCTACAGAAGCTTTAATAGATAACAGTAAGTTGATCGTACTAGCGAGAAGCAGCTATGTAACAAATACATATATACTCCCATCTTTCTTAATTGTTGCCTTGATCTCAACAATTAATTATTGCTGTATAATACCTCGAAATGAATAGATGATATATTTGAAGATTCCCATAAAAATTACCTATGTTCAACCAATTTTACCTACCCACAAATGTCCATTCACACAAAACACTGCCTTCAGTTTTTTGAAATGCCTGAGAGCCAGAAATAGACACAGGATCGCCGTTTCTTTCGTCCGGAACATTTGGGTCATCATAGGTGCATCCGACTTAACTGAGCTTAAAGGGAAGGAGTAAAGTCAGTTGAAACCAAGCAAATTCTAGCAAACTACATGACCAAACTATTAATACATGGAATGGAATTCAGTCCACAGTGGCTGAATGGTCTACGAGCTCACCTTATAACCGGGAGGTCCCTGGTTCGAACCTCACTGGGTGCATACTGATTGAAGAGTTGCTGACTAGAAAGAAACAGCTGTCCGGTACTCTAAATGGTGTCAGCTCGTCATAAAATATGAGGACAAATTTAGGCGTTGATGGTTCAGCGGTAAGATACTAGCCAGATAGGGAAGTGGTCCAGGGTTCGATCCCCTACCGACACACTTGTGAATCTCGCTTAACCGATAATAGTAAGAAGGAAGGTTGGGTGTAAGGGTAAAAACTCCACGGTGTATGAAGTAAACACCACTGAAAACTCAAAGCTCAAGCCATGACGGTTGGAGGCAATCTGCAGGAAGCCCAGTTTGACCTAGGTTTCGTGCTAATTGGCACTCACCAGTCATCAATGCGTATCTACAATCTTGAAGGAACTCATGTCCTTTCTGAGATATGAACTTGTGTCACGCAGTGCTGAAGTCAGAGATGTTACCACTGGGCCACTGGGGCCCGTGACTGACCTCCTGTAGGACTGTATTGGATACTGTGATTAGACACTAGTAAATAGTGTGATGTGTCTAGAATGGTGGCCACATTGGAAACCTGACTGATATAATTCTGTCTGCATCCAAGAAAGGACTAAACACATCCCACTAGTTACTAATGTCCAATCAAAGTAAGCTCAAGTCTGGATCCGTATGTTCCACTCAGACCGCAAAGGAATAGAGTACACGATTTTCGAACTATTCAGTTTGAGGTTAAAATTCATCATGCCGTGATTTAGGAAACCAAAGTGTGCACTGCTTGACGTTAGTAGCGACCAACTACTCATAGCAATCAGTAGTACGTACCGTCATACAGTGATGCCCAATTTCTCGCCTGGCATTCATGGTATCAAGTAGATTACATTATGTGATTTGGATATATCTGCTTCCCACAAAAGACTGCAGGGAGTTTATTTACCTCAGGTTGTGTATTTTGAGAATTGCAAATATTATTATTATTATTGATTTTAATATGAAGACATGACTCTTGTAAGTAGTTTATATAATTTATCAAAAAATTATCTTTCTTTTTTTATAGTTTAGCAAGGGTTATGCAAAGTTATATGTACAAGAAGTTTGTGCACCAGGATATAGACCGTGTGGAGCCCAAGAGTGTATCGAAGAGACAAAGTTTTGTGATGGTGTTGTCGACTGTGCAGATGGTTCTGATGAAATTCCTGCAAAATGCGGTAAGTTTCTTTTATTTCCTTCAAACTAATCATCATTTCAACAACACCGAAGCTCACCAGTGACTGGCCCTATTCAGGCAGTTACCTGGGGTTCTAGTGAAAAGCCGTGACCAGTAGGGTACAGCAGGTTGAAGGTGAGGCAGTAACTCATCGAAGAAGACATTTCGAAGTGGTCGCGCTATGTTATGAATTGGCAGAAGTTAGAATTCGTGAACTGGCTATTAAATCGGGTCCCAGTGGCTTAATGGTTTACGAGCTCTCCTCGCAACCAGAAGATCGTGGGTTCGAACCCATATGGTGTGTACGTACTTCTGAAGAGCCCCAAACTAGGCTGACGAAAACGCTGTCCAGTACTCCATGGTGGTTTTCTGATGGTTCTCCAACTGATATCAGCTCATGGTTAAATCCTCCAACCAATCAAACAAAAAACTCCCTACAAAACCAGTACTTGTGAACAAAAAATAGCCTGATCGCTTTACGGAAACCATTTTAATGATTCATACCCGTGGTTCACCTGATAAGTTCCGAGAAGGCAAGAGAGTTCGAATTCGCTGTATGAAACGACACCGTTTTAATTCATAGGAGGTTTAGTTTGGAAAGTATTTAGATCTGTGGTATAGGTTTCCTAGGAACCAGTTTCTCGCTTTGGTGTTTCCGAAAAGCTTTAACAAATGGCCTTTGATTTGTAGACTTCAATGAGAAGCATGTCGAACTAGTAGATTAATAAATAATATGATCCATACCTTCAAATCTGTTAATTGTCACTGGCGTCTCCGATGCAGACTGCACCTTTGAAGACCCTGAGTGGAACTAGAGCAGAGAAGTTAGTCGCTTGTTGTATTAGGCAAGGTGGAGAAGACTCAGGATGCAGATTGTTGTAGGTGATGCAAGTAGTCCTAAGCTTTATCATCTGGCTGCTGAGATAAGATTACGATACCACTATGCGTATGATTTTACTGTCATCTTGATCAGCCTGCCATAAAGGTTACCTAGTTTAGATTACTAAATCATTGGCGGCTCAACACAATCCATGTTCACAATGTCGTTTGGCCATGTACTCATATAATGAAGAATGTTCCCAGATGAGTTAGAACGAAGAAGCTTATTTGTAAAAAGTCTCATGTCCACATGATGATGAGATATTAAGTTGCGTCTTCAGCAAAGTGGGTAAACTTCAAATGAGTTCAGAAGCTTAAATCCACTAAACTTGTTATCTAAGGAACTCACGATCAAGAGCTCATCAAAATCAGACAGTGAGGAAAATACCACACTAGCATCTATAAGACTAAGCCGAAACCTTTCCATCATTTTACTGCTCTGGACATTCACAGCTACATTCCTTAGAGATTAGTTCAACCAGATAACAGGAAATAAGAACCGGTACAAAGAAATGCAACCTCATTGATCACAAAAGAGTAATCAGTGTCATGTGTTTAGACTTTGACAGTGTTGGTGCTAAATGAATCCTGTCAGTTCAAATCCCCTTGACGGACGTTAATCCCTTCACGTTTACGGATAAATCTTCCACACAACTTCTTACAAGCATGAAACTGAGGTCTAGAGCTTCCTTTAAAACACCTAATATCGACCGCACCTCACCAAGAAATGGTACTTGGATTCCAGGAAGTAACCAGATTTCATGTTCTAATATTGACATTTTCATCTTCTGTCTGTTTAATCTGCCCTTTTTGTTCCTCTTACAATCACTTCTAGGTGAATGTGGTGCAAATGAGTTGACTTGTGGTATGGTTGATGATGTGAAACCATTGAAAAATTGTTATCTACAATTTTGGCATTGTGATGGAGAAGATGATTGTGGAAATAATTTCGATGAATCCAACTGTTTGCGTAAGTGAATTTATTTATACCATGTTAAATCCGGAGAGCTTTCGTCCACGGATTCTTCGATGTTGAAATTGATTTCGAATTTTCCGTTGGTTGAATGGTACCGGATCGAAAAGCTTGATATCTGTTGATATCATAGATACTTCAGTTATGCCTTGAAGTTCACGTGGTGTTTTTTGGTTAGTGTCGCTAGTAGTAGAATCCAAGGCGCATGTTTCGTTCCATTTCGAACTCGTCATCTGTATATGGCTGCATCCCCAATGAATGATTGTTTTCCCTGCTAAGACCCAAATCCATCACCCTTAGGCGGGAGCCAGTCTTCCACATAATAAGATCTAACAGTTCAGCCAGGAAAACAAGAAACATGTGCTTTTAGAGTGAAGCCATCAATTCATCATACAATGCATGAAAAGATTTTGGTATAAAAGAATTCCTTTTGGTATATTGCTCCAATTTCTGTCAAATTTTATGAAGGTTATGGATTTAAATCCACCGTCTCTGCGTCATTTGTAGAGTGCTCACCAGTCACGTAGGTGATCCGAGTTCATTCCTCGACTGACACAATCCTAAACTGCTCATAGTGTACCAGTTGATCTTAATCTTCAGTAAGGTGATCGCCTCATAATCCGAAGGTTCTAGGTTCAATTCTAGTAGGCGTATTAGTTCATATTGCTGAAGAGTCCCAAGATGGGATAAAACAGTAATCCAGTACTCCCTGGTTTCCAGTGGTTGGTAATGAAACGAGTTAATCTTTCCTCTTAAGTGACATAACCACCATATACCCGTTTGCTTCTCACCTCTGTGCATGTGGTTCAGGCTCAGTCCCTTGCTGATACACTCTTGAACGTCATATAGCTGGTAGTGCGCTCAGAGAATAGGGAAGGTTAAATGTGAGGCTAGCAACCCCATTGAGCTGAAAAAATAACAGTGTCACTGAAACTTAGTAGCTCAAGCCTTGAATCCGTATGTGCTACTGTAATCTCAAGGAGTGAGGAGACGTCTTCTAACTACTTTGTAGTTCCAAAGCCGTTGTAACATGTCTACAGGTTCTTCTTACTTCAAAAAAGATAATTTTGGTAAATTTTTTCAGGCTAATTGTTTTCTGTTATCAGAAAATCCCCGCGAAAATAATATTCCAAGCTCTAGTTAGAATGTGATATTAATCTGAATAATAATTAACAACCACGATTGGCATTTAAATCCTTGGTCTATAAATCATCGCTTTCTATGAGAGGATTCTGCCACTCAGCATGAAATAGCTATCCAGTACCTCCTCGTCAGTGCTTATATTCAGTCATCTAATCAAGCTAAGATCACCACAGGGTGGCAGACTGATAAACGTTTTCTGAATGTAGGACTAAAATTTTGGCTTAGTTAACGTTAGTGAAATTTGAAGTTTGTGACACCTAAGACAGAATCACTGAATCTTTATTTGACTATAATTCCTTTGTGTCTACGTGTTTACAGTGGAATATCTTAGTTATATATTTACCTATGCCTTGAAGCTGTTCACCATTTTATTCATTAAATTTCTTTCCGAATGAAATATGGAACTTCTAGATCAAGTTCTGAAGTTTCCGTAGTAGGAGTGTTGTTTGTTGCATGAGGTTGCCAGCCTTAAGCCCAACCTTCCCCCTTTAGCAGGTTAACTACCGGCTAGGCTGTCGGGAGTCGAACTAAGACAACGTGTGCGGTTGACCAGCCTTCTACCACTGATGCACAGATGATTTCCTAGAGAATCCCAAACAAAATTTCATAGTTAGCTATCAATAAATATTTAACCATTTCCCCCCTGATTTCTTTTTCTCTATTTCAACAGCACCAAGTGAATATGACAAATGCAATGGCACACATTATACATGTCCACGAGGGGATAAGGTCATAGCACGTGCATTTATGTGTGATTCAGTGCCAGACTGTGAACCGGACGGTGACGATGAAAATGAATGCAGTAAGTGATTTAAAAATATTCTCCAGCTGTGTTTTTCTCTGAATAAAGTAATAATTCACGGATAACGTTCCAGTCCCCATGTATAAAGTATGAGTGAAATGTATGTTTTTAATACTTTTCGACCTTCGTAGCACATCTTATTTGTGGTAAACTGAGTCCGGCGGCAAACTATCAAGAGTAAGAAGACGGCCACACGTTAGACCGACAAAAAAAGACCCAAGATGATCCACATTTCCCTAATAATTTATGTCTTATGTCACGCAAATTGGAAGCATTATAAACGAAAGCCAGCAAGCTGTTAGAAGAGCACGTCGAAACAAAACTTCAGTTGACCATAGATAAAATGGAGGGGATTATTAAGGTGACCCACCAACCAACAACAACAAACGTTGACAGTGGGAGAAATCTGAAGGAATTCGTCTCTTTCACTTACCTTGATAACACGTAAAGGTAGCACAGACGAGGATATCAACGCTAGCCAAGATTGAAAAATCAGGACAGGAGTTCATCATTCAGAAATCACCGTAGAGTTCTACAGCACTTAACACGCACACAAGAAACACGATCCGAATTTCTAATGCTATCGCCAAGTCATTACTTCTTTAGAATTTCACTAATAGCCACCTTGTCTAGCTCGACACCAAAGGTTAAATGGCCGGCCGTAATGAATAATCAATAGGGAACACGGGACAAACATTGGAGAGACACAAAAGGCACAAAAGCTTTTGAGCATCGGCGGGACTGAGTGAAAGTGATTTAGGAGAATCAAGTGAAATAAAAATGTGCTTCTGACGAGCTGTTTATCCATCGGAACTCATGGAATGAATAAAAGTGACCACACCATACCGCATTCCCCTGAGTCTTTGCCGGGGAAATTGAAGTACAAGAATATCTTTAGCTATATTCATCAATGTGTACATAAAATTTCAACCTACATGAAACACCAATTTCTAGACCCCCTTTAGTTAAAACAATTCGTCTTGAATTTTTAAAGAGTTAGTTTGAAACTTTTAAGTGATCAAAATACTCATTGAAAATGATGATACATGCGATACGTCGAAGTTCAAAATTTAGGTGACACATGACTTTTTGTTAGTCTACTGTATTTCAGTAGATAGCAGCCTTTCATCGCTTAGCTCGCTCATCGTGCTGAACATTTGACAGATAGATTTAATCCTAGTTTGGGACTCTTCAGCAGTACGCACCCATCATGAGCTGACATCAGTTAAACCCATAGGTCCTGGGTTCGAACACTGGTCTCAAACTAGAACGAAACAGCTTTCCAATATCCCCAGGTTTTCCAGTGGCTTTCTAACTGATGTCAGTTCATGATGAAATCCTCCAGCCAATTAGTCAAACAAAATCCCTACAAAACCAATACTTGAAAATTAATCTGATGCTCACTAGTGACTGGACCTATTTAGGCAGTTACCTGGGGTTCTAGCGGGAAGCCGTGACAAGTAGGGTACAGCAGGTTGAAGGTGAGGCAGTAACTCATCTAAGAAGACATTTCGAAGTGGTGGCACTATGTCATGAATTATCAGAAGTTAGAATTCATGGGCTGGCTGGTCCTTGGAACGGCTCAGGTCCTGGGTTCGATCCCCTGTGGTTAGTGCCTACTGCTGAATATAGATTTCAAACAAAACTTCAAACTTTCAATTTAAACTTCAAATTCCACAACTACATCAAGCTATCGTCCAGCAGAGATATCGCTCCTTTTACACAAAGGAGCAGTTGTCTTTCCAATGCATCACTGAGTGAAAACGGAACCGAATTATTCCTCATATATGAAATCTGTCAATGGATATTATCGTTGATATGTGTCAAATACAGTTAAAACACAGCTTCAAGAAGAAAGCATTCATTTTCCAACATGATGCTATATACTACTCATTGGTTGAAACGAGTAGTTGATATACCATTTACATCAACCAGTAGTGTTTGCTAACCATATCGAAGTGAGCTAAACACCAGATTGTCGAGCTCATTAGTAATGTACTAGGTTTCAGGTAGCTTAGACAGCCAAATTCGCCTAAACCAAGCACTGTTTTGTATGAAGTAACAGGATAAGATAAACCCATGTTTTAAATACTAATTTGGGGCTACCATCGTCATCTTATGCTGTGGAACACTGACAAAATAAGCATTGATTTTAAGGTCAGTCGTTAATTAAGTTTATCTAACATATTTGCTGCCGATCAGTCGTCCAAAGGTAAACCATCAACTATCGGATCTCATATTCATAGTCTTCAGACATGCTACCACCGTAGATTGTCAAATGTCGAACGGAACTAACTGCTTATATAGACAAATCTTTATTAGACCTTTCGCAGACAAGATGCCACGTCTTAGATATGTAGGGATTTGACTGACTTCAGGAGAGATTTCGTCTCGAACTGACAACGACTGAAAACTGCATTGGATTGGATAGATATCTCGTGCTAGTATGGGACTCTTCACTAACATGCAGCCATGACCGTACCACGAATGAAATTCAGGGCATTGAGTTTACAAGACGAGCATGTTGGCATTCAGTGGGATTTCAGTTTTCAATGGTTCTTTAAATGATAACCATTCATGATGATACTTGCCTTGAAAGCTTTGAACATAAAAATATATGATACTTTTAAACTATTATGAACAATAAATTCACAGTTTTTTTAATAATTTTATTTTTTCCAGGTTATCCAAGCATCATTGAACCATCCGGTGAGACACAACTTATTGGTCATCAAAATGGAAATTTAACTTTAACTTGTGTAGCTTACGGACGTCCACCACCGACGATCAGTTGGCGATATAATTGGGGTCATTTACGTGAAGGTGTTCCACATTCAATTAATTATACAGTTATTAATTGTAATATGGCTATCAGCCATTTGACGTTAACTGACTTGGAACCACGTGCAAGTGGTTTGTATACATGTGAAGCTGTTAATCGAGGACGAGCACTGGCACCGGATTTCTTAGTTAATGTGGCAAGTAAGTGATGGTAACGTTGATTTATCAGATTTTATTGGATTGAATTGATCGCCCACTGTTGAGATGAGAGGATGTTATCTAGTTGATGGTAGCTAGCGGTAGAATCCTGGACATGAGTTTTGCCCCAGCTGGGACTTGTTATCTCTGTGAATCTGTACCCTCAGTGGGTGGTCGCGTTCCCAGTGTGACTACTGCTTGTCAACATCAACTAAATAAATGAACAATGAGAACTTATAATGGTCTCCGTGTCCTAGTAGATAGAATTATTTTTATGCGTAGGTGTCATTCGCCCTCGTGGTCTGGTTTCGATTTCCGGCCGACGCACTCCTAAATTTCAACTAGCCAGAGAGAGAAGATTATGAGTGAGGCGAGCAACCCCATCCACTGCTGCTTTAACTTCAAGGGTTATAGTCTGAAGCCGTATATTGTAAGTGGAAAGTAGACAAACTGAATTTTGGTGAAGATGCAATAAGAATAAGGTGGGCGTGACAAAAAAAATTAGGAAGAAAAGGACAAACGATTTATAAGTAGAGAGGTGGTGATATAGCTAGTTTGAAAGGTCTTCACAGTTCAAAAGAGACGGAGAGAGATAATGACTGTACCAAATGCTTCTGAACACATAAACTACGATTATCAATTTGAATGTGGTAATCAAGGAAGCAAGTATAATCTCATTGGTGGTATATACTACTGACTAATACGAGTAGTTTGAAACCATTCATATCAACTACTAGTGGTATAAACAGTGGACAATCGCTTCACTTATTTGGTGCCTAAACCATCAACAGTGAACATATTTTAATTTACTCCAGAGAAAAGATTTCCTTTGAAACTGGTTTTGTCAATCCGTACTTCATGATGTCAAGCTATTTTGCAGCCTACTGAAGTTATTTATAAGAGATTCCTGTAGCGTAGAGTGTTTACGGTGTACATCAAAGTAAATACCAACTGACTTTGAATACACCTGTCATCTAGATCTAATTTAGTGCAACAGAGCCTACACTCCATCTTCCTAGACATCGAGAAACTGTGTTATTATTATTATTATTTACAAATCCTGAAGACTTGTAATTTATCAAAATATCACACAATATCATAGGTTAGTAACTGATCATGAACCCATTTCAAAAAATCATTTTCACAGAAGGATTGGCCTCCAGCTGATATGTTTGTAATGAGTGGATCTGGATAGATATTCTGTGATAAATGACCATTAGTAGTGGGGTCTGAAACCAAATATCTTTTCGTTTGGCATTAGTCAACTATATAGATGTGCATCCTGTTAAATGACTACGTTTCTAATTAAACTGGAACCTTAAGTAACGAAACACTCACCATTTTGTCTGTATAAATTATCATACAAAATGTAAATGAACTAGTTGTCAAGTTGAAACTATTTCAGTACAACTACTCCACTCGGAGGATGAGAAGCTATGAGCGATCATGGGCCCAGCTAAAGAAGTCTGCAGGTTATAGAACGTAGTGGAGACGTGCTGTTGAAGACCTATGTTCCACTCAGCACCCATAGGAACAATAATTTATTCTTTTATTCCTTCACGTTTCCAGTGGAACATAGGCTTTCAAGCTAGAAGCCTGCAGTTTTGTTAGCACTGGTGTTTATTTTTACAGGACGCAGTTGCTAGCCTCATGCCCAACCTTTCCTCATTACCAGCTTTATTTTTGGCTTAGGGAGGTAAAGGAGTGCGTCTGTGGCCGGGGATAGAACCCCGGACTATGTGCATGATCAGCGAGCGTCCTAACCGCTGTCCGACCGACGCAAAGGAGTAATAATATATGATATAATAAAATTCAATTTTATTGAATTTATTTTGAAGAAGTATATTAGATGACCATTGACAATAAGGTGGTGCCCATCTTTGGAACTCTTCAGGGATACACACCAATGAATTTACCACAAGTTGAACTCAAGAGCCAAATGTCGCGAGGCAGTTAGCCACAGGACGTAATTAGTCAGATCCCTGCAGATAAATACTCGAAAATTAGTCTAACACCTATTAGAAACTGACTGTGAGATTGAATTCCTAGAGTCCTAGTAGGAATTTGTAGAGTCCACGAGGTCGGATATGAGGGCAGATACTTGCTAATGATATTGACTAAAGTCGCTGGGATGGACCCCCAACGAGATCATTAGTATATATTTTCTATAGTTGGTTTGTAATGGTTAGTTTTGTTTTTACGAGTTGATCACGGATTGATATCAGTTAGACAACCATTGAAAACCAGAGATTAATGGACAGCTGCTGTTTCATCCTAGTTTGGGAATCATCCACAGTAAGCACCCACAACGAAAGCTCGAACGCAGGGCCTTCCTGTTACAAGGCAATCTCGTATACCATTTAGCCGCTGGGACCAAATTCAATGGGCATTGCATGAATTCTAACTTCTACCAATTCGTGATTTTAGCGCGACCACCAACCAATGTCGTCGGTGGGACATCCATCCTCACACCTGACATCTGGATGGACCTCACTGGTCACGACCTCTCACTGGAACTCCAGGAAACTCCGTCCTGTAGCAAGTCACTAGTGAGCATCGGATTAATTTTCAAGAGTTGGTTTGTGACGGTTGGTTTTGTTTTAACGAGCTGACCACGGATTGATTCGGGTCCCTGTTGCTGAATGGTGTACGTGCTTGCCTTGTAACCGAAAGGCGTACTACCGATGATTCCCAGACTGGGATGAAACAGCCAGCTATCCAGTACTCCCTGGATGGTTTTCAATGGTTCTCTAACTGATATCAATCCGTGATCAACTCATAAAAATAAGTATATATATTGCTAAAGTATCCCAGACTATTACAAACCATTTGTTAAGTGCTCCCTAGTTCTCAATGGCTTTTCATCTCATGCCACTTCATGATGTAGTTCCAAATAAAAAAAAATTTATTGTCCGCATACTAAATCCTCCGGATATAATAGGCAAAAGAAGTGTGACACCTGTAGTTTCATTCAAATCCTCCTAAAATCCCCTCCTGGACATACCTCCAACCATGAATTATAAAAAGGTCTTGTATCCTAGATGAAAACTGTCAAGCTTTATATATAATATTTTTTATAGATCTTACGTTCTCTGAAATAAAATCTCTACAAGTCGTTGAACAATGCAACTGTTACTTTTTTACGCTTGCTTTTCTTTTTTAAATAGAGGGTGGTATTTGTAAAGCTCCACAATTCAATGATGCTGCATGGTTTGACGATATGTGCCTATCGTGTTATTGTTCAAATGTGACAGATAAGTGTGAAAGTGTAAAAGGCTATCGAAAATCTCCGGTAAGACTTTACTTTAGGCTTGTTGTCTTTTCTTTTTCTTCTTTTACTGGAAATGAAAAGTATTGATTTAATTTGAAATGTCAGGCTTTTGATCTTACAATATGTCATATATATTCGATATTGTAAATCATCTCCTAATCCAAAAGCATTCATTGGTGTGTATTCGCTTTCATAGGACATATATTCGATAAAAAAATGACGGACACATTTAGCACACACTTTCTGTAAGTCAGTGTTATCAGGTTGTTGAAATAGACAAATAGACAAGATAAAAGTTACGTGACTTTTTTAACAATAATAGAGAAGATTTGTAGCCCAGGTGGATATTTATAGTGTCGTTATATTCTCTGGGATGAGTGGTTTAATTGCGAAGCATTCGCTGTATTCCTGGACGGTGTATTCAGTGAGAACTTCAATGTGAAGTAAGCTTCGTGGTTTCTGCTTGTATGGGCAAGAGTAAACAATAGACACCAAAGTTAAATGACCTTGACTTGACCAATCAGCTAGCTCAGCATTACCAATGTTTGCTAGTCAAAATCCTCGTTGAAAATCTCGCCTAGATTTGGTTTTTGACTTCTCTGTGGGAAATGGGTTGATAGAGAGGAATAAAAACATGCATATGTGGAGGGATTATGGCTTTGAAAAAGTATTTCCGGTCTATTGATGGTTATACATTCAGATGCAACCAATTTTTGTGAGGAAGTCTGTAAAAGTTGATAAGTCGTACATAATTGGTGAGTTTTTAGACAATTTCTTCTCGAAATTAAAGGTCTTCCTTAGTAGTATATATTCCGTATCTGCTACAGATGGAGAAACAGAGAATACATTAGTTTGATATATCTATAACCACTTCTATGAGAATCTGGAACCAGTTTTTGCAGCATATTAGAGATATGCACCCTATATGATTCATTTTTATTACGTATTTCATAGATACACTTCTTTACAAATTAAGTACCACTTTTGACCTAGAAGAATCTGATTGGCTGTTTCAAGGTCGTCTGAAGTTGGTGTTTATTGTTTACTGCTGCCCTTGGATGAAATATCTGTCTTTTCTGATGAACTTCACTCTGATTGACTACTCCCGTAGATTTCCTTATGATTGTGCTTACTTGTATTGACGCTGATCTCACTTCGTTGACCTGATATTTGATCTTCCGATCATGTGACTTATTCTTCGTTGATTAATAAATTCAGTCTATATCAACGTATCCATAAATAGGATATACATTTGAGTACTAGGTCTCTAGGAATTCTATAGAGTTCTTTGTGTCTTTTGTGTTTAAGAGTTTGACGTCCTCTGAAATGATCTGATGCGCTCACAAACGAATTCATAGGAACGAATATGAGTCACGTTATTTGACTGTTAGATTTGTGTTCATTCATAAGAAGATCTAGAGGACGTCCACTTTTGCTGAAATAATGTTTTTCGCTGTTCATGCATAAATAGATAAACATCAATCACATTAGTTTTGTCTTGTCTGACTGATTGGCCTTTTGGTTTATATCAGTAAACATAGACCAGCAGCCAAAAGACATAACACGCGTTCCTCCATGCGGTGAGGCTGAATCAACTGTTATGTTAAATGGAACCAGAATAAGAAGATAATATAACATGAAGGATCAGCATATCCCCGAGCTCTTTGTGTAGAAAAGCTTTTTCCAGCCTCTTATTTTACCATAGTTTTAAATTCATTCTTGTGTATTTGCTTCTATTCTTAGTGAGTAATTCACTACTATCCCCCTTAAATGTTCATTTCACACATTTTAACAGTCAGTTCTTTTCCTCCACCTTTTGCACACTTAACAAGGAGATACTCAGCTACCTTACTCCTCATCTGGTATCAGTTTCCATCTTATCAAATTGCATGCTATTACTCTTGTTGTTTCCTTGGGCTCTGAGTAGAACAAAGGGCTTCAATAGCACGTCTCCGATTTGTTCTGTTCTCCGTGGTACTCTTTAACTGGCCCCACGATTTGCCACACTCTCTCATCTCCTCCCCATTACGTAATCTCGTCCATGTTACCCCACACCGACGACCCACTTGTTGCCTCCCATTGGGATTACACTCGAGTGATGGCCGGTCTCCCCGGTGTATTCCTAATCTGTCTCCATTTTCATCTCCTTAATTGTTGAACGATAGGTTCTTGGTTAGTTTGTTCCCGTAGTTTCTTGTTGCTTATTCTTTCTGACCAACCAACTGACCTTCAGTATGTAGCTAGCCAAGACAGCTGTTAGTAAAATTCTGTAGCTGCCTGCTGGAAATGCTTTTCATGACGCCGGTATTAAGTTTCTGACCCATATTGAAGAAGTGACTGACTTAACATTTTTGTTCAGAGTCCGAGCTTTGTCCTCTATGCCTAGTGCAAGAGATTTCCAAACCGATTTCGGATTCTGATTTTGACATACTTATTCGTTCCGCCTGGAGTTGAAACAATGCTTCCTAGATAAGTGACCTTCTTCAGGTTTATTCCGTTGACAGTGACTGGTGCTTGTTGTTGTTGCTGCTGCTGCCGATCGGTTGTCCTCATCACCTCTGTCTCTTCTATGTTCGCCTGAAGTCCTGTCTTTACTGCTTGCTTCTTTTGTCAGTTTGTGTGTTATCACCTGTAGGTTTTCGAGTATTTGTGACATTGGACATTAATCATCCGCGAAATCAGGATCTTCTGGGGTCTTCTTACCGGTCCGACTTATTCCTGTCTTCTCGCACCCACTCATTGTCTTCTTCATAATCCAGTGCACCAAGATTAAGAATATCATCAATGGGCAGCTTTGTCCTATGACTAAGTTCGGGATCAGAAGTTAGTTGCCTTTTGACCGCTTCTAAGTCCATTTTGATTGATATATTAGTGTACAGACTAGTTATATCAAAGCTGACCATTGTTTCATTATTGTCTAATTGAATGTTATTTAGTTTCCTCTTCATTTCATATGAATTAGTTAGTCTAGAGTTTGAACGATTGGTAATGGGACATAATATTATAGCTAAGTGTTTTGATAATTCATAAGTAGGGGTATTCCTGAAATCTACTATTGGTCTTATGGGGTGACCTGGTTTCTCTATTTTTGTAGTACCACATATTGTACTAGCGTTATTTAGTTTTAGGCGTTAAATTAAACCATTTAGACTCACCTAGTGATGGCTTCATTCTGCGTATTAGTTCTGTTGTCGATTTCTTAACCTTATTCATTACTGTATCTACAGGCTTCTTAATTTCTTCATATGGACCCGTTTGAATATGTTCAGTGACTTTTTTGATATAGTCAGATTTATCCAAAACTACTGTGGAGTTTCATTTGTCAGCTTTTGCGATGACAATATTTGTATCCTGTTTTAGACTAATTAAAGCTCCTCTTTCCGATTTTGTTAAGTTTGTTTTACTTTCTTTTGATTTTTCAGGGCTAATGCACATTGTGCTCGAACCTCTTTTGCTGTCATCTCATCTACTGAACTCAATGTTAGTTTCATGCTAGGAATGACATCCTCTGGTTTTAAATTACTAACTGCTACGTTGAAATTTAGGAATCTGACAACAACTTCTCGTACTCAAGTGGCAGAAAAAAGTGGATAATCAATGTCTTATCAAGGGAACTAAGCTCTAGTGAGATAAAAGTGCTCCAGAAAGGACTAAATTTCAACGTAACAGTTAGTAAATTTAAAACTAGACTATGTCATTCCTAACATAGAAGTAGCACTAAGCTCAATAGATAAGACGACAGCAGAAGAGGTTCAAGGACAATGTGTATTAACCCTGAAAAACCAAAAGAAAGAGAAATCAATCTTATTAGAATCGGAAAGACTAGCTCTGATTGGTCTGGAACAGGATAAAAACATTGTTATCACAAAGGCTGGACATACACCTCGCTGACTGACTGGTGTGAGTGTCAACCAGTCCGAAACCTAGGTGAAGCAGGACTTCCTACCGATTATCTCCAACCATCTATTGTCAATAATTAACCATACTGGTGATTGCCTATCACTGGAGCTTTAGAAATTCCATGTTAAAGTCTATCCCTGGAGGATACCAGAGAATCCTTAGTAAATGTGCATTTTTACGAGTAATGAATATCTTTGATATAAGAATAGAACTTGTGCACTGTGGTGGAGTATAATTCCACTATGGGTAAAATTTATTTTGATAAAGTCTCACAGTGTTTGTTATACAGTAATATTTAAAGATGACGACGTCTCGAGCACAATTTATTACTGCTCATAATCACATCAAGGCACTACGCAAACAAATTTCTAACTTCGTTTACATGATTCCATTATTTTTCATCTCTTGATTTGACTGGTAGTAGCATTTTCCATATTTCAAGTGATGAGAAATTCCTACTGCACATGTTGTGTGCAGATTCAATGAACAGGGATTCAGTAATCAAACTCTCTATCTCCACCTACCTGTTTTACTGCTTGGAATTTTAACCCTCTCCCACCATATTGTGTAATAATGCATGTAGTGCAGTTAAGTGCTGATCATTTTTTTCTAAATTACTTATCTTAGTGGGGTCAGTCATTCAACACTTAGCTAAATCTGGCAGCCAATCTGAGTACTCCCGATCTACTAGTCTGATCGATATAGTTGACCTTACTCACAGTCATTGCGAGGTATTTTGCAAACTATATCATTTTGTCTAATTGGATCAACCAACTGGGTCATTTAATTTACAGAGCTTGTCCTACCTGAGTGAGTTTGTAGGTCTAAATGCCACTCTGGTTCCTGCTTTATTAAGAATAATACGTAGGGTCTCAGATGTCCCCTCCTTATATGGTATAACAGTAGATGACTTATATTCTCTCTTATTTATGTTATCATTACTAGTTTCACAATTATTTTTTATTTTGCTTTTGGTCTTTACTGATCTTCCTAATGAATTATATAGGATAGCTAGTTATTTTACACCCATAATACAATAATGATTATCTGTTAGCTTCATAAACAAAGATCCTGTTCCAGACCAGTCAGAGCTAATCTTTTCGATGTTGTTAATTTTGATT